ATTCTCACTTAGTAAGCACACACTTAACTGTTTGTATACACTATCATAAATTGGCTTTGGTTACTGGGACTTTTGAGTCTCATTATGTGGTTAACAATTTTCAGGAGAAGAGCCAAGAGTGACACGTGGAGGAGTCCCAGAGGCTTAGTGGTATAGATCCACTGTCTCTTTTGGGTATTTAATTTATGATTTATAATGTATTATATTGCCAATATTAGGGCTTTTTGTTTATTGTCAATTATATGAATATATAAATGTAATCATGCCTTTCAAACTATTTCTATTTTTGGTACAATTTGGATGACTGTAATTTTAATATTTGGTTTACTTTGGATTGGTTAAAATGGCATGATTATAAGGCCAAATAACTGGCTTGTGTTGAAAATTGACTAAATTGCTTATTTTACTTGTTGGGAGTATAAGGATGGACAAATGTGATTTAGTTTACTTGTTGGGAGTATAAGGATGGACAAATGTGATTTAGCCTAATGGCATGTGGGAGGTAAAAATTTATCTGAAATGTTATAGTGTGTGAGTTGAAGCCGATTATAAAATATTTTATATTGAAATTTATTGATATAAAAATGTGTTGGGTGGCTGTAACCCAACTATGGTTGAGTTAAATTATTTAAAAAAAAAAATTTTGGTGTGTTACAATAACATTTGAAAATCATTATTAAAGATAGTTTTAACCATGGTTATTCTAAATAACCATTACTAAAAGTCATTTTTAACAATAGTTTTCTATTAACTGTTGTTAAAATTTTATATTTTTAAAAAAAGTTGTTTGTTTTTTTAACTTCCAGAACTTAAAGCTTGTAAATTTTTTTCCCTTAAAATAAGACATCCTAAAATTTGAATAATGACAAAATTCTATCTAGTAGCAATTGAAAATATCTATTAAAATAATAATAATTCTAAAATCTAAACTATCAAAATTATGCAATAAATTTAATTCTTCCTATAAAATATAAATTTCACTTTGTCAAAAACTCAACAAAAAAGAAAAGAATTTCAATTTCTCCCCTTAACATAAACAACATATCAGAAAAAGAAAAAATAAAAAAAATTACAATGAACAAAAATAAAAATGCGAAGACAATAATTCAAATCCAACTATTATAATTTTCATAAATCAATAAAAAATAGAAAAATAACAATGAAACTTACTTGGAATCTACTGAAAAAGAAAATACAATCCAAAGAACCCACTTAAAGTAACACCCAACAATGAAAAAGGAGGAAGGAGCAACCATCCACTGAAAAAAATGCATCTAAAGAAAATCCACCTACAATGGGAGAAGAGAGAAGGAAGAAAGCAAATGGAGATCCAAAATTAAAAAACTCACTTGAACCCATACACAAGAGACGGTAACGATGGAATTGCTCTAAAGATGAAGATCGACGACAATGGAGCTTGATAGGCTTCGAACGGTGAAATGAGATGGCTAACAAATGTTGATGGATGGTGAACAGAGCTTCTTGGAGACAAAAATGGGCAAAAGTTAAAGCTTTAAAGGCTGGACGGGTTGAGCAAAAGAGAACTTGAGAAGAGAGAGAAAGAGGAAAAAAAAGAAATGGCTGTTTGAATGGAAGGTGAAGATGTGGAAGAATTAAATTTAAAGAGAAATAATGTCATTTTTTTGGAAAACCAATGTTTCTCCTTCCAACGTCGAATCTATGAAAACCAATGTTGAAAATTCTCAAATTATGTCCTTTTTCATTTTTTTTAAGCCTTTTAACTTTGGTTATTTGAATAACCAATGTGGAATATATTTTTAATGCCAGTTATTCATATAACTGATGTTAAAACTATTTGCTTTATTTATAAAACTGTCACCGCCTTTTTTTATAATAGATTTTTGCTTAACCGATGTTAAAAAGCAACATAAAAAGTGATTTTTTTAGTAGGATTATAAGACTGGAAAGATCAAAGTTTATGCTTTGCAATGCCAATTAGAAATATAAATCCTGATTGCCATAACCATTTTACTAAAGCACCTATAACTACAAGCAAACCAAGTTATTCCAAAGCCATTTGGCTGCAATTCATGACGGGCGTTTTACACACATAATGTCATATGTCAAATTTTCACAAAATCATATTACCCAATGATTTCAATAGGTAAAGATGAAAAAACAAAAACGGCCGAAGGAGATGGTGTGTTTAGAGAGAGGCGCCGAAAGTGATTTCTCAAAGCCCAAGCAGACATGGAAAACTTTTCACACAATCCGATTTACGCATCAAGATAAAAATATCCATTAGGACTAGTTGATATTGCTGGATATTTAACAATATCTTATGTATCTCTTAAGGAATTATGAAGTGATTAATAATAGTAATTACTATTTAAAACTATTTATTTCTCTTTATTTTTTGAAACCGTTTTTTTAATGTTATTAAAGTGTTGTTAAACAGTGTTTTAATTCCCCAATGTTCATAAGTCTTTTGTCTATAAAAGGTAATGCAGGCCTCATTCTTGGACATGCCATCTAGAGCTTTTGGGCAATCTTCTCTCCTCCCCTCCTCGTGTTTCTCTTGAGTTGTTTTGTGATTCTCTCTATTCTATAACCTTATTTTAAGCAAGAAGGATTTGTTTAATCCTAAAGAACTACCACATTTAATAGTGTATGATGAAATAACTTTTAAAGATAATATTCTTAATTATGAGTCGAATCATATTTTTTACTAGATTTTCTAATAGATAATATAAGTGAAATAGTGGTTGATAAAAATTATTTGAATCACGTCTTGTAATGTTTTCAATGTTTTTTTTATAGTACTAATCGAGTCTAATTGAGAAATAGGGTATGAAATTGTGATTACGATTGATTATTTGATGTATATGAGGATTAGAATCACTTAGTTTGGGAGAAATTGGATTGAAGAGATAAAAATGAGAGGGAAATTGTACTAGCCCTAGTGTCTTACCTATAGCGTCGCTTTGCCACGGATATCGCACTCCCAAGTCACCCGGATCGGAGTTCCGACATTGTGAAGTCGAAAAATTCATACAATTTGAACACTGAACATTCAAATATCCCAAAGTTCATCACCTAAAGGCTTATATAATGATTATCAGAAAGGCTCTAAATCGCTTCTTAAGCATAAAACATATTTCAAAGGGGAATTTAAAAGCCGCAAACAGACTTATTGTGAGGCGATCTGATGCATTGAAGTTGGGGAAAATGCCAAGATCTGGTTATGGAAATTCATATTGTAGGCAAGTCCATGGTGGCCGACTGGCCGTAGATAATTTTCTCAAAGCTGATAAGGCTGTGAGCTGAAGAGTGAAGAAGTGGAGCGTCATGAGAAGATGGACCCTTGGTGCTATGTGTGCATGTCGAATATTCCGAGTGATTGATTGAAGAAGGGCTGTCTTATAATTGATGGAATAAAGTTTTGGCATTTTATGATGGTATTTATTGTTATACTGATTTGGGGATTAGGAGAGGACTGGGAATATGAGAAGTTAACGTTATAGAAGGGGTTTAGAGGGAGAGGCATTCAATGCGCAGTGGATGCTTCCCCACTCGGGACAATGACCTGAGACCCAGCCATAACGTCCCATATTAAATTAGCATCCCAAGCTTTAAGGATTTTCACGTGCATGCATTCATCTCTCCTTTCCACTTCTTGATATTATAATATATCGTATATACATAGCACCTAGTGCTGGACTTGTCTTGGTTTTGGACTTTTGCTAGCTTAGCTTACATGAAAACATTGCTTGTGAGCTGTCTCCCCACCCTGCTTTTTCTTTGTTTCCTTGTAATTTTGTCTGCAGATCCACCAAATACGTGTTTCATTTTCAACTTTTATCTCTGCTCCAACTGTTGCTGCTGCTGCTGCTTCGGATTCACCATCTATTTTTGAATCTATCATTTCCCTATATGAATCGCCTTCATTCACTGATTGCTAAAAGGGCATGTTTTATCGTAAAATTTTTTTTTAAAAAAAAATATCTTGTCTGAAAATTTTTATAAATTCTCTATTATATACTCCCTCTGTTTCTATATATAAAAGAAAAAAATATATCACATAATTTAAAAAAGTTAATTAATTATAATAATTATATTTAAAAATAAAAAAATTGAATTAAAATACTCCATATTAATCAACATAAGTATGCATTAATTATTTTTCATTAATATAAATTATAAAGAGTAATTTAAAAAATATATAATGAATGCTTATTGAAATAGATGATTTTATTTATATAAAAAATAAGTAAAAAGTGATAGTTTCTTTTATAAATAGAAACAGAGGAGTATATAGTCTTTTTAATTTCTTTTTTCTTTTATTTTGAAACTTTAACAAAGTTATCCATTGAAACTTTTCCAGGCACGGTATATCTAAAGAGTAAGTTATTGATTGAGTGCACAGTAATATTGTATAATCCATAATGTCGATTAAATATAAAAGAATGAAATTTGATGTTGTTATTGTTGTCGAACGTATAAAGAATAATGTCGGCCACTCCTAGGATTCCATCAACAATCCATATCCATCGTTCCTATTTCAATTATTTATAAGAAGTCCAGTATCGCCAATGGAACGGAATTTACTATTCACTTGAAATATTTTGCCGCGCATTTTCTCCTTACTACATATCTGCAGACCCACAAATAAATAAATAAAAACACTTACCTGGACTTGCTGTTGGATGCATAAAAAGTAACGAGTTAGTAAACTCTTTTACGTGTCTGATCCATTTAACCCGTTTGTAGGATAAAATTTGTCGTCGTCATCATCGTGCTTAAACATCAAAAGAATGCTGGTTACCGATCCATTTCCATCATTCCTATTTCTATTGTTCAAAAGAAGTCCAATCCCCAGTGGTATACGATTTCCTTTTCACTTGGTAATATCTTATTTTCACATGAATATGCACATATGCGTTCCTTGATAATATATTAATAATTACTTATCTGCAGGCCCCCAAGTGGGGAAAAAAAACCAAAAACACCGGTGTTGACTTTGTCTTTGATGCAGGCAATTTTAGCGGTTAGTAAACCTTTCTTCCCATATCTGCTTACTCTAATTTTCATTATATGAACGTACAAACGGTTACAACTTACAACCTTAAGGGATACAAACGCTCTGCATTTTCTTTTACATAGAATGCTGCCAAGCTTAATTATGACATAGAGAGCAGCAAAAAACAAAAAAAAAAACAAAAAACAAAAGAAAGAAGTGGGATAATCCTATTCCTATTTCCTAAGCATGGCAAGCAGCGTCTTGTTCCTCTAATTCGATGCCCTCCTGAGCCAGCCTCTGGTCCTTGTACACGTACCACTTGGCACACACCAGGTACACAGCGAAATTCACACCACTAAGAATGGTCAGAAGCCAATAAAAGTTATAGAGCTTGCCCTGGTTAAGATTGTCGGCCACCCATGGCTTCCCTTGCCCCGTCACTTTGTGCACTATTGTCACCAACAATGAGCTCACGAAGAACCCCAACGACAGTGTGCTCAAGAACAGGCCCGTGCTCATCGTCTTCATCCCTTTCGGACATTCTCCTAGGAAAAACCCTAGCTGTCCTATGTATGTAAATGCCTCCCCTGCTCCAACAAAGAAAAACTGGGGGATTAACCAGAACACGCTCAGAGGGATCACCGCATGGGGATCGTCCGTCAAATGATGTGACTTTGCCACTCTCAAACGCTTTATTTCAGTCAGTGCTGCTACGGCCATGGCACAGGTTGCAAAAACCAGACCCACACCTATGCGTTGCAGAGGAGTCAATCCTTGTGGGTTTTTGAGCAGTTTTCTGCCGATGGGAACGATAATTCGGTCGTAGATGGGGACTGTGAGCAGAATGCTTCCGACGAAGAAGACAGTCAGGGAAGCCGGGGGGATTTGGAATGATTTTCCGATGTGGCGGTCCATGGTGGTCGCTTGGGACACAGAGAATGTGGTCATTTGGGCATACACAGTCCAAAATATGATGGTGGTGGCCCATATGGGTAACATCCTCAGGATCAGTTTCACTTCCTCAACATCTGTTAGGGTCGACAGATACCACTTCCTCTCCTCTATTGCGTCTACCATTTCCTGATCTATGATCGCAGCCTTGTCCAAGAACCTGCACGCCATCACTTAGTACTTGCACAACGATTCTATGCATGGATGGATACCAGGTTACCATTAACATTGATATCAGAGATTGTTTAACCGTGAAAGTTTCCCTGATTAGTAGCACCGTTGTGTTAAACTTTTGTGGATTAATAGCTTGAGTCATGTATAGTCATAGTATGAAGATGACAAATAGACACTCACATCACATCAATAAATCAATATATACCACAAATATAAAGCAAAAGATTTATAGCACGTCATATTTACTTTTAAAATTTTGTGCAATGCACAACAAGACGCGTGTATAACATAATTATAATGAGAAGAGATTGGTAAGAGGGATCAACTAAAATAGTGATGTAAGGTGAAAAGCATGAATGAATGAAATGATGAAAGGCATCTTTTGGTTGGATAGGCACATGACATGAGGGGGAGAATTGATAGAAAGCGTGTGTAAGGAGAAAAGAGCCAGACAAGCAATTGTTAAAGCTATTTTCTGTTAAGGATAGAAAATGACGTGAGGCAAAGATTTCACGTTATTCACAGGCAAAATAAAAGGATTGATTGAGAGTGAGAAATAGAGATAGATAGAGGCATAAAGCCAATACGTCCGTGACAGAGGTAGCTGTGTGGGTAAGAATTTGCCTTTGGAAGAGAGAATAGCAACAGCTCAACTCAACTCCACCATGAAAAAGACAAACAGCGCATGATCCACCCACTGGGTTAGGACACTGGCAGACACCCACACACTCTCCAACCATCCATGTTCTTTTTCCCTTTTTTTTGTTTTTTTTTTAATCCACTACCCGACCCAATCTTGTACCTTGGTTCTCACAAACTAATGTTCTCCTTTTTTTCCATATATTTTCCTTTGTCCTTATTATTCTGGATACATGGGGATCTGCTTTGGGTTTCCGCCTCCATAGTATATACAACTAGTACAAAGACCAATAAATCCAGTGGCCAGCAAGATATTTGACTGTGCATGCAAGGATATGTATGGTTATTAATTAATTATTAAACTAAGAGTGCTGTGAGGATAGTGCCTATGACTGTGATTGTGACGTAAGAAAATGAGATGGTGATAAGATATTTGATCAACAGAAGGCAAGGCCAAGAGAGCCAATACCGCGGCAAGCCACTGCACTGATTCACAAGTTCATAGCAACTGGCAAGAGGCTGTGAATGTGAAGTTCTGAACATGAACATGAACATGACAAGCAAAGACAACTTTCCAGGACCGACCTTGTGCAGACCAATAATGAAGGATCTCAGGCCACCAATGTAAAATTGCCTAACCCTTCCCTCCATCATTAAAATTAGAGGCCCCCTTCTCTATATAACCTTCTCTTCAGTGGGCCACTCTTTCGGACTCCCCTCTTCTTACTTACTATTCATGCCTCCCTCAATTATTCTCAAAGTTGCCTCCTCTCAAATTTTGAAAATCACAATTCACATAAAAAATAATAAATACATATTAACCTTAATTTTGTTAAATATTTTAAAATAAAAGAGTAATAGAAATAAAATCCATGCAGGTCCCCCTCGCTCCATTCTTCTCTGTTTCTATGCCAAAAGTATGTTTTATATTTCACATCTCAACAAATTGAATTCAAATTATAGTAATAGTTCTATATAAAATATATAGATAATACTTTTTTTTACCAACTAGATAATATAATTTTTATTCCCTAAACTTTCCTTTGATTATAGATTTAGTTCCTAGACTTTTGACTTCATACAATGAAGGACCAAAAGTTTTATTTTTTAAAAGACTTATCTTTTCTATGATTACTTTTTTCTCAATTTCTTTATCATTTCATTGTTACTTTACAATAATTGAGGTATCTTGCCATTCCAGAATTTTAAGGTATCCAAAAGCTCCAAATCATGGTTTATTGGTTTCTTTTAGCTGTGATCTTTTCAATCCCTCCCTCCCATCATACATTTAAGATCTAGTCAACTAATTCATGGATATTAAAAAAATTGGTTAAATAAAAAAAAATACCCCTGAAGAGAGAGCATTAAAAATGGGGACAAAGTGAAAACATTTGTAAAATTACAAAAAAAAAAAAAGGCAACTTGGAAAAATATTAAATAAAAAATAGAAGATTGAACTTTTATATTTGAGATCAAAATAAATATTTCAACTAGATTCTGTAACTATAATATCAAAATAAGTATTTCAACTAGATTCTATAACTAATGGCCAAAAAAAAAAACCTAGATTCTATGACTAGAACTGGAGTGACTAACTTTTTTTTTTTTTTTGGTTAAATAGAAATTAAGGATTCCTCAGCGGAAAAGCACTAAAACTTGCTTCCCTTTCCCACAACTAAACAGTAAAAACCTTTGTTTATTTTTTTAAAAAAGTAAAAGCCTTTTCTAAAATAAGGAGATATAAAGTAGGGCTATAAGTTTTTTACTTCCGTCAAAGTGGGACCAATAGATCACAAGATACATTATAAATTTTAAAAGACAAAAAATTAGGATTAATATATAATTTGAACTCTACACTATATGTCTAAGGATGATTTGAACCTTCAACTTTTCAAAAATATATTTTGAACCTTAAATAATTAAAATTGAAACAATCTCGCTCTCACCATTAAATTTCAACAAACGTTCGTCAAAATGAAGCCTAATGTGCAATTTTCACCAAAAAAGAGGAGACAGAGAAGGTGAAATTGGATAAAAATCACACATTAGACTTTAATTTTTAAAAAACTTACAAACGTTTGTTAAAATTTTAATGGTATAAATGAAATTGCTTCAATTTTAATTGTTTAAAGTTTAAAATATATCTTTTAAAAGTTTAGGATTTAAATCACCTCTAAATTTGCAGTTTGGGGTTCAAATTGCACATTAATCCAAAAAATTATTCAATCTATTCCAAAATATTATAAATTAATTTCAACTAATTTATAGAAAAAAAAAATTGCTACAATGTGTTGTCATAGAATTGTAGTAGTTTTCAAAATCAACCATATTAATTATATTAAACCACTGTCATATTAATTTCTACTTTCTCTCACTTATCACAGTTTAATACTTCAATGAATCTAAAACATAACTAATAAAAATCACTAAGTACACCTTTTAAAAGGTGCTCAATATATAAGACCTGAGGGTTCTTCTATCTTAAATATAGGAGTACAAGGAAAACATAATCATTAATTTAAAAAGGGCAAAAGAGTAAATTATCTCATGAATTTTAGATCTAGTAACATCATTTATTGTAGAAATTGCTCTATCAAATTTTGAAAAAAGTATAATATGGTCTCTACTGTTAACAAAAGTTAACTTTTACCTATTTTTGATCCTCCATCTAATTTTTTGGGTTCTTGCATGTAATTTTTATATCCTTTATTGTAATTTCCTTGTCATTTTCTATAATGGTTAAGATCCTTTTATGTTATTTTCTACTTAACTAATAATTAAAGTTAACATTGTTAACAATGGCAACTAGATTGCATTATTTTTAAAAATTTTAAAAGTTGACAAAATAATTTACACAATAAACAAATTCAAGATTTATAATGTTAGCTAACTCAAAGTTTAAAAAGTAATTTACTCATTTATGTATTTAAGAATAAAATGAGTGTTTTTAAGTCTATTTAAAAATCCTAAAAATTTGCAAACACAAGTGATAGTGAAAAAAAGCTGAGAGTGAGTGATATACTATTCCCTCTATACTAAACCATAAACAAAATTAAAAAACAAATAATGATATTTTATAAAATTATTTTTTCAAAATAAAATTACAAAATTTTAAAAATACTTCTACATTCTTAATCATTACGTGATAAAGCCATTTCAATTCTATTTACACTTAAAAAATAATATTAAAAATGTATTATAAACTTTATTTTTAAAAATTATATTGTATTTTGGGATAATAATATATCTTCAACTTTATTTATAATTTGGGAGGGTGAGAATATAAAACAAAGGGGTGCGATTTGAAAAGGATTCAAATTTGTTCCCCTTCACAAACAGCCACGTGGAGAGCAGTAAATAAAAGCATCACTCAAGGGGCAATAGGGCTCCATTTGATTTTAATCATTTGTGAAGAGAGAAGATGCAATCATTTAATCTTCTGACAGACTATAATGATAAAAGATGATGATCATAAATAATTTTTTTTGTAGAAAATGAAGAGCAAGAAATGGCACCTGAATTGCTTGCTGTGAGGCAAAGCCTGCTTCTTCTTACGGCTGGCTTCATCAATGATGTGATCCAAGTTGAAGAGCGACGACGAATCGGAGGGCAGCGGCAAGTGCCTTTTCCTCCAAGCAGCGACTAACACCACAGCAATCTGAGTCAGGGGGCTACCCACGAGTTTCTTGAAGCGGTACCGCTTCGTCCCCGACAAGAACACGACGAGGGCTATCACAATGGCGGTTGCACAAATACCATACCCCCATTCTCTGCCCACGTTGTCCTGGATGTACACCAGAATAGTCACAGCCGCCAGAGACCCTATGCTGATGAAGAAAAAGAACCAATTGAAGAACTTCGCCATCCGGGCTTTCTCTGTTTCGTCCGTTTCATCAAATTGATCGGACCCAAACCCAGAAACACTCGACTTCAGACCTCCCGTGCCGAGGGCGGTCACGTAGAGCGCTAAATACAGAACCATCAGCTGCACGTTGTTCGCCGGAACGCAAGGTGCGACCTTGCATTTGGGAGGGTGCAGGCTCGGAATTATTGTCGATATCGTCAGGATCGTAACCCCCTGGCATTTAAAGACAAATAAAAACTTCAACACTCTCGCTGCTCCGGATCGATGGCAGAACAGAGCTTAGATGCAAATGAACAATACATGAGTATGATTAGATTCAAGAGTGTCTTACAGTTGCTTGCACGGTTGCAAAGATGGCGATGGTGAGGTATCTGAAAGAAAGAATCGAAAAACGGAACAATTAAGACAAAAATGCCCAAACGCGGCGTATTGGCAAAAGGCGGTGGCAAAATAATAAAAAGTTTAAAAGAAGAGGGGGGGGGGGGAGAGAGTTGATGGGGGTAATGCGATGTACCTGCCGAGGAAAGTGTCGGCCACGAAACCACCGAGCAAGCAGAGCATGAAGGAGGTGCCCATGAAGTTGGTGACGATATTGGCGGAGATGGCATTACCCAAATGCATGGTGGCCGTCAAATAAGTGACCAAATTAACAGCGATGCCGAGCGTCGTGAGCCTCTCACAAGCTTCTCCACCTGAGAGAGAGAAGACAAAAAGATGTTGGCTGATTGGAAAATAGAAATAGAAGCGACCGAATAAGGGAAGGGGCCGGGAAGGGAGAGAGACCCAGAATCATGGCGGCGGCGGCCCATCCACCGGTGGTAGAGCGGAGAGCGGGACGGCCCTTATAGTCCCAGGCATCGGGGATGGGTTTGCCCTGCCGTGTCTGAGCAACCAATTGCATTTGGTGAGGAAATTAAGGAGCGCAACAGAGAAGTAAAGGAGGTGAGTTAGGGCGCTGACGCATTTCAAGTCGTGTGACCTCTTTATATAGAGCCTTAAGAGGCGACGCGATGGGCAAGGATAGGGTCGGTCCACTTACTTTCTCTCCTTTTTCCCTTCATTTTTCAATTACGATCATTTATTAAATTTATATTTAAAAAATTTATTTAATAAAATAAAATCAATGACCATAATATGAAAATGGAGAGAAAAGGAGAGGGGGTAAGTGGAAAGACTCCTGTAATGAGCCATGCTCATCTATGATTTACGGATTCGCTTTGCTCCTCTTAGGAGGAAGTTATGTTGCAAGTTTAAAATTTGAAACATCCAAATTAAGTTTAAATTTAAATAAAACTTAAATTTGATTTTTTATTTTTTTTTATTAAAATAAAAATTTAAAAAAAATTAATAAATTTAATCACCAATTTAGACGGTGTAGATTTAATGTTATTAGTATAAATTTAATATTTAAATTTTTTATAAATTAACTATCCAAACAATTATCCTTTGCACAGTACAGATTTAATATGAATGGTTCAAATTTAATATTAAAAATTTTTATAAATTAACTATCCAAATATCCTTTAAAATCTGGATAGTGTGGGTATCTTCTAACACACATTTTAAAAAAATTACAAGTTAAATATTTTACGTCTAAATTATAAGTCTGAATAGTCAATTTATAAAATTTATAAAAAAATTTAAATATTAAATTTGGAGCACTAATATTAAATATTAGACTATTTAGATTGGTGATAGGAACTATTAATTTTTTTATAATTTTATTTGAATAAAAATAAAAAAACATTAAATATGGACCATTCCTAAACATAATCTAAACGGTTCAGTTTTTGGACCTGCAATGGAGGCTCCTCTTAAAATGATTTGACCAGTTCAATCGTCGATTGCTTAACAGAATGGCTTGGTCCAACCATTTGGACCACTTGTGTGACATTATAAAAATTAACTTCTTAGCAAGTCGTGATTATTGAATTAATATTGCCACATGGTTATTAACACTATGGCAATGAGCACCATAAAGTGATTGTAATATGTATGATGATTATACAAATATGTAAAATGAAATAAGTGTGCTTATGTGACTATGTGATTGTATTTCATATGTAGTTGTGTTTTAAGGTCAATTCATATGTAATTGTATATGATAAATATATTTTGGTTATTGAGCGATTATACTTACATTTCTCTCTCAACATTTTACAGGCTTTGGCTCGAGTATGGATAGGAAAAAATGCACTGAAGGCTTAGAAATTTGATATTCCCATTGTAAAGCGGCCCAACTTAATTTATTTTGTATAATTATAAGACATTGCCAATTAGAGATACATTTTGCATATACTTGTGCTAAAGGGATATTCACGACTAATTTTTGCATTTTAGGCCTTGAAATGTTTGTAAGTAAAATTAATTATTTTTAATAGGTCCAAAATATTAGTGCAAATAAAAGAATGATTCATATTATTCATTATACATGAATATTGATTGAATGCACACGCTAGCCCTCCCTCATTTGTTTTTTATATTAAGAGGTTAAGAGGCGAATTTGAGATATATGTGTTATAGGTTTCATATGATATGTTGTACAAAAATTCTTAAGTCTAATGAGTCAGATTTCAAGTATGTTTCTATGCTTTTGGCACTAGGTTGAAAAATTGGACACCTAAGTTAAAATTTTTATTGTGACTGTGTAGTTTTGTGTAGTTAATTATGGTTGCTTGATTTTTTATTTCATGATCTAATTGCATTCCTATGCTATTGATTATTCCTCTTTTTCATGTTTTTCCCCCCCATTTTCCATGTCTCCACTCTATTTATATTTAAAAAATATCATCCGAACAATAGTCTAGTGCTATATCTAAACAATCATTTTTTTCACAAATTTATGTTTTATTTATATGTATATGTGTGGGTAAATATTATTTTTATTTAATTTTTATGTCACAGGTTCGACCGCCTATCTAACCGATTGAACCATAAAAACCATGATCAAAGATTGAGTAAATAATTATATTTTTATATATTTACAAATTTGTAATTTTGTTATAATGCACTTGAAACTTATTTTTTAAATTTTAACAAGGAAAAAATAGTTTATTTTTCAACTTTCTTAAAATTTCAAAAATAATTTACAAATTCATCATAGTAAAATTGCAAAAATGATATATAAACTTGCAAATCCTTGGAGTTATTGGACCTTCTATCACTAAAGAACTAAGAAACTTTGTTGGCACTTTGAACTTAGTTGAGACTTAATTTGAATTAATTGATTTTCTTAAAACCTAATTGTCATTCTCCCAACTTTTTATGAGTTTTATTAAAATTGTGCAAACATTTCCTATATTTTAAAGAGAGAATTACAGTTAGGTCCCATATAAGGAAATTAATTACTGTAAAGTTCATTCACAATTGAACTAAATTGCATTGACAATTTATGTGAAACTTTAATATAATTGTCCCTATTTTAAAACTATGCACAGGTATTTCTGACCCTACAAAGAAGGTATGTTTAGCAAGAAAATAACTCTAAGGAAGTACATATAATTTATTGTTTGTTTTTAGGAGAGAATTTTAAAAATTTTAGAGATAAAAAAATTTATGTGGGAAAAGAAAACTCAAGAGAAAAGTCTACCCAACTCTCACTTTCATGTAATTTTTGTAATATTTTATATTACTATAATTTTTAATATTTATAGATATTATAAAGATTAAATTTTTTAAAGAAATGTCGGTGTTTTTGCTAAATTCGGAGCACCACAAAAGCAAAAAGTCCTTGAAGCCTAAGCCAAAAGAAATGGAGTTCAGCCAAAGTGTACACAAATAAGTGAACCGACACATTCTAGGGAAAGCTAATCAAATCACACACACACTCCTTACATTACCCAAGAATCTTGGCACACCCCACACTCACCACATCACACAATAAAGCATCTTCAATTGTTGCCAAGCGCTAAATTCAAATAAGAGCATACCGTTGCCATTTGTTATAAATAGGCAATGAGCATGTGACTAGAATTCTCTCAACACTCTGCCAAATAAAACCTCACATCGTCTTTAACCTCACCTTATGTGACCTATCCTCTTTGTGTAAACTTTACTCTTAGGCTAATTTCCTAAACTTGTCTATTTCTCTGTCATTATGAAGCACCTCATTATATTTACTTCTTTAAGTAATTCTAATGATTTTTATGTAAGGTCTCCCTTACTATTATCCAATTAACTCTAATTTCAAGGTAATCAAGATATTATTCCAAAAAAATTACCAAGTGTGTAAGTTTTATAGAACAGGGATCATGAGTTTTCAAAATTAAAATGTTACCTTAAACCTTCACAATTCAAAAATATAATGATTAGATACATGTGGAAGCATGTGATCTTTCACAATTTAAAGTATTTGCATAATAAGTATAAGTAACAAAATAGTGTAGGGAAACAGATAATTTGCTGCTACTTATGTTACGTGCATCGTGGCATGTTGCCTCTATGCCATGCACTGTGGCTTAGGTGCTATGTGTCGCGACGCATTGCACAATTTTGACAAACATTGTTATTATCTTTTAATAGCAACTGGGGCGAACTTCCGACACGCCTTATTTCTCCATCTGACATTTGATTGAGGTGATTTAGGTGTCTACTAAAAAACTTTTTCCTAATTCTAGTTAATGGAACTAATTTCATAATCAAATTTTTTCTTAATCAATAATTAGACATCCATTTCACAATTTACTTTGTTCACAATTCATCCACATCTTAAGTGTCCTAATTTCATACCAAGTGTCAAAAGCCTTAAATACACTCCTAACCATGCTCAATAGAATAATACAAACTCGTGCAATACATCACATCACAAATTTAATACCTCAAACATATTTTCAATACTCAACCCCTTAATCGTAAAACAAGAAGGGAAGTCTCAATTACACAATTATCACAATCAATCCACAATAATCACATTTTTCTCACGTCCTTACTTGTACCAGTATTTTAGCCATACTATAGATTTCACAATCTACTCAGAAACATAGCCTAGGACTCAAAATACACAATTTAACATTTATCTACACATAATGCAAGTAAGCATAAAGACATGAACATCCCTAGTTGGCAATATCATTTGAATTATATATATAATAATAATCAAAATAAACGAGGCCTATAATTTTAGGATATTGTAACATTTTAATTTTTAAATAATAAAGAAATTGTGAAATTTAGGTTTTATTGAGGATAAAAAAATCATAATAATATAAATTTATATTATTTGAGGTTATTCAGAAATAATAATATGGTTAGGCATTTAATTATAAATTAAAAATTTAAGTTTAAAATTACATAAGAAATGTTTAGTTAAGATATAATTTTAAGATTTAGAATATATAAATAATTTTGTGTGTGTGTAAGTAACAAAAAAAAAGGTGAAAGGTTTTTTTCTAGGTCCCACATCGGTTGGATGTGGGAAGGAAAGCTGTCTCCTCATGTATAAAAGGGAGAGTACGCGCATTAGAGGCAAAGAAAGGTTGAAATGTAATTTGGAGAAAATTGTAACTAATGGCCCAAGAGTTTAAATAATTAAATTTAAACTTATAATCTTTTTTTAAATATAATCATGAGTCTCACAATCCTATTTTTATATTATTTTCCCCCATTTCTCTCCCTCTCACGTTGCTCCATCCAAGGGTGTTATTTTCTTGTTTCTTCATATATGCTCCAACTTTTCTGTTTAAATTAGCATTTAAAAAATTATTTAATTAAAAAATTAATTTCATAGTTATTTGCTAAATACTATTAGCTTTTTAATGATATAATTATTTTATAGAGTAGAGCAAATATTTTGATTAGAATTTTTTTATAGGATAGTTAATCTGACGATATGATGGATTAAAAATATAGGTTAAAGTTTTAGGAATATAATAAATATTATAAAATATTTCTTTGAGATTGAAACTCATGTTTAAAGTTTTTTGAGTTAGACTCTAGATCTATATGATTGATTTATGTTAAATTTGAAATGTAGGG